TTACCACTTTATAATAAACCTTCACCTGTGGTAGGACAATTCCCCCTCAGGCCCCTCCTACATCCCATCCACCCCTAACTTTTGGGGTTTTGAATGGAATCTACAGATTAATTCGGAGAGAACCGCTCTCTTATGACATCGAACCTTCTGCCGAAGAGCATGGTTTGCCTTTCCATTTACTCAAGTCTCCGTTAATGTTTTTCAGAAAGTTTTGTCATTTTTCACTTCGCACCACAGCTTGGTCTGTGTGGTTATGTCGAGATGTGTTTCCTTCTCTATAGAGCTTCGTTGTACTCCGCTGTGTGGCTGTCCCGTTATTTCTTGTGCCAGGCCCCTAACGCTGTCCTTTTAGGATAGGTGTGATCTTCTTACATTACAACAGTGTTTCAGGGCAAGTCCTTGAACTCACGAGCAGGATCTGTACTACATCTGTACTACATCTGTCCTACATCTGTAGGATAAATTGCTGGAAGGACAATTACTAGGTAAAAGGGTGTTCGCGTCCTCTAGTGGACAGACACCTGCTTTCCTGCCTTCTGGAGAGACCAGGCCCCGAAAGTGCTCTTTGAGTGCTCCTAGGTGGTTTAAATTCTTACTTCCTGTGCGTCCTTGGAGACATCACCTTGGCCTTCGACCAGAACTTTTCTCTCCCCCTTTTGTTTCCGTAACTCTACATAAAAGACTAAAATATCTTCACTTTAATTCACTTTAAAATATGTTCACTTTAATCACCCATTGTCTGTTTACTTACGTTCTAGCTCACTCGTGTTGCAGTGAAGGCTTAGAAGGGAGCAGTCCACCAGGGGGCCCTCCCATTTTATTTATCGAGTCCAGGGCTGCCTGTTGGTGATGGCTCCGGGTTATCTCTGGAAGGGCGGGAAAGGAACTCCCGCGGTAGGGATGTCGACTCCGAGAGATGGAGAAACTGAGGCATGGGACAGTAAATGCCTGATTAGAGTCAGGAAGCACATAGATGGCAAAAGGCAGAACTGCCAGTGTGCTTTCTTGTCCCTCGCGGTTCGTCTTTGCGTCCAGTCAAGGGTGGCAGGGGGGGACCTTCCAGAGAAAGGCTTGTCCTCCTTAGACAGAAGGCTCCTCCGGGTGTGAGGGCCGGTGTAGCAACAGGTAGGCCTGTTCTGTCCTTGCAGTGGCCAGTCCTGATCCCCACCTGCCCCCAGCCTTCCAGAAGGCAGGCACTGCCATCCAGGAGCAAGGAGCGTGGGCCAGCGGCCAGGGAGGCTGGGTCTGGCCGCCAAGTTTCCATCTCTTCCAAATCTCCATGGAGACTCCCTCACCCCCGCCCTTGGCAGTGGGACACTGCCATCGGCCTGCCTGTGGCCCCCCTCTTCCCAACAGAATGCAGAAGTTTGCAATGCTGGTCTCTGCCCTTGTGGGACCACTGGGCAGCCTGGCCCAAAATAGCTAGAACAGGCAGAATGCTGGGGCCACAGTGGGGAAAAAAAAATCACAGTGCTGCTAATAACAGGCTGTGCTTATCTGGAACCCAGCGTCTCACAGACGTTAACCGAGGTCACATAGTCTTTTCCAGGAATGAGAAAACAGACCAGTGACCAGCAGTGATATGCCCAGGGAGAGAGAAGGGATTGCCAAACAGGGAAGGATGTAGAACGTGCTGCCTCCTGGGAATGTTCTCTCCCCCGTGAGTCTCTGGCCTTCACGTCCCATGAGCTGCCCTTGTCTGAGGATGTGGGGCCACTTGGGAAGGTTCTGGAAGCCGTTCAGTGTTTGGCCCAGACATCCTTGTGTAGGAGGTGTGAGCTCCTAGGGAATTCCAGGATGGGCGTGACCTAGAACCACTTGGGAAAACTGAAGAGAGAGACTTTGCGGGGGGAGGGGCTCATCGTTCTGGTTGGCCGTGGCCTCTGACCCATCAAGGGGCTGATGAAGTCTCCCTCAGGCCTGGCTGCTGGCTTTGGGTTCTGAGTTGGGAAATTTTTTTTTTTTTTTTTTTGGGACCATGACTCCTGTCCTTAATTCTGGCCAGGACTTTCCAACACGGAAGATATTTGCTGAATTGGGAGCATTCTGCCCTCATTGCCTGAGGGCACTACGGCCTCGATGGAGGACTGACAATCAGGTAGTCTGCAGGACCAACCCCAGCCTGCCCAGCGTCGCTTTCCTACTTCGTTTTAAAGCGGTGAGGAAGTACAAAGAGCATTAGGGACCTGGCCAGCTCGGTGTTCGGGTGACAGAATTTGTTTCTTTCATCCAGGGCTGAGCTGGCCTTGTGACTCTTTGCCCCTTTGCCTGTTGGCTTGAGCTGTGGGCTGTGATGCCTGAGATGTGCTCAGACTGTGGTTCCCTTTCTTCTGGAACTTTCCACGCCTCTGAGCCTTCTGTCTCATGCGGATGTCTTGGAAAACTCCAGGTCCTTGTTGCCACATTTCATACCAGCGCCCCTCTGCCTCCTGGTCTCTGCCTCAAGAGATCTGAGTAATCCCTTTCCTAACCTCCTGGGAGATGTGGGGGCTCGACCCAAGAGGAGGGAAGGAGGAAGATTATACTTACCATAATGACAGTTATCACGAGCATACTCCTGCTTTGTATCTGCTGTCGGGCCTTTCATCGGCCGCGTGACAATTACAGAGTCACAGTCCTTTACCCCGAGTCCCCAAAATACGAGAATCTCTGAAACCGTGGTCTTCCCCCCCGAGTTTGGCATGAAGGACTTTGGCAGAAGAGCGTGACCTGCAGCCCTGTGAGGGTAAACATGGGTCCGGTGCGGGGGACCCTGCGCAGAGCCCCGCGGGGTGAGATGTGCTGAAAGATGTCTGCATTTTACTTTGGCCGCGTCTGACTGCATGGGTTCTGGATTAGAGACCCTGAACCCATCTCTGCTTTATAGACAAGGAGACTAAGGCCCCCTGCCGTCTCAGGCTCAGGACGTAAAGCCTCTGGCTAGAACGAGCAGTTGCCGCTAGAAGTCAGGGTCATTGACTGGCTGTGTTTCTAGAACTCTTCTCTCCATTGGGCCTCTGGATTCCTGTCTTTTAATTATCTCTAAGATAACTATCTTTCAGGGGCACCTGGGTGCCTCAGAGGGTTAAGCGTCTGCCTTCGGCTCAGGTAATGATCTCAGGGTCCTGGGATTGAGCCCCACGTTGGGCTCCCTGCTCAGCGGGGAGCCTGCTTCTCCATCTCCCTCTGGCTGTCTCTCCCCCTGCTTGTGCTCTCTCTCTGCCTCTCTCTTAAACGAATAAAAAAAAAAATCTTAAAAAAAAAGATAACTGTCTTCCAGTTCCTCAACACTAAAGCCATCTCGGATGGGATAAAGAAAGGGGCAAATCTCTTTATCTGTTTTTCTTCCAAGCCACGTGCCCAGCCTTGTGTCCTGGTGCGGCTCCAGGACTCCCAAGCCCTGGGCCTCCGGGGAAGGGTGAGGGGGAGGCTTTCCCATCACATCCAGGATGTTTCTTGGTTCACAGGAGTTCTGAGAAAGACACGGCTTGTCTAAGGCCCCAGACGAAGGGCTGGCAGGGGCTGCACAGAGACGTGGCCTACTTGTCTCTCTTGCTTTTCTTGTGTGTCTCCCCCCGGGCATCCCTGCTGTGAAGGCCACCTAAGGACAGAGCCGCTAGGGGAAGGTCAGCCAGTGTGCTAGGCCTGGGTCCTGTTGGCCAGGAAAGTGCGCAGGAACCAAGACGAGCTTATCTCTGGGTTTCCTGTGTCGATAAGCAAGCAGGGATGTGAGTTTTGCCAAGCCTCAGGCACGTGCCAAAGATGTGAATGATTCCCGAGCGTCTCCCATCTCCGACGGAGACACATTTACGTGATCCTGCCAGTGTCCTTGAAGTTCTCCAGGGCCCCTCAGGGATCAAGGCATCTCTCCCTTTTCCACGGGAGCCCGCGGGTGGCCCGTGTCTCTGGCGCAGCCGCTGGGCCCTCCTGGCTTTGCCACCCAGAGCCGGCGCTCCTTGCGCCTGCTGGGTGGGAGGTCTGCAGGCCCCCCCTTTCCACCTGATTTCTCAGCCCTTCGGGCAGACATGGGGAGCAGCAGCAGGAAGGAGTTTCCAAGGCAAGAGAGATTAGCGTGCCGTCGTCTGTGTTTTCCCCAGAACATCTCAAATGAGCACCCCCGTTTCTACATCTCCTGTGCGCACGTAGCCAGGCAGAGAGGCCCCTGGGAGCAGCGATGGTGACAGTCCCCGAGTTGCAGGTGTGACATCCAAGCCACTCGGGGAGAACCAACCGTTCTGACTCAGTCTGGGGACGGCGACCAGCCTGACGCGGGAAGCTCCGTAGAAGCTGGGAGCGGCTATCAGGGTGCGAGGCAGGGCTGGGGGAACCCGTTTAGAGCTTGCGTCTAAGACGAGGAAAAGGCCTGTTTTTCATATCAAGGAACCAGAGTCTGATAGAGGCCGAGCAATGCTGACGTCCCTCCTGGCCCTACCCAGGCGGCCACACTGTCCTCTGGAAAATCTGCGCCTCCAGCCAGGGCTTCCTAACCTTTGGATCACAGAGCTCTCTGAGAATCCAGTCAAAGCAGTAGATCCTCCCCATCCCCCAGTGAACATTTGCACGCACACACAACTTTGCATTGGTTGGGGGCGGGGGTCACAGATTCTCCAAAACCGGTCTGTGGTCCCTGGACCCCAGCAGGGAGCCTCTGACTGAAAGTGTGTCCCAGGTCTGCCACCGTTTGGGGACTCGATCCCACAGCGTTGGCAACAAGTGCCCCCTGGGCTCCTAGGAACCCATCCCCTACCACCCAGCAACTCGGGGGCCCCCACCCTCTTTGTCCTGGACCCCCCAGCCGCCTCCACACCTGGAAGGACCTCCAGAGGCTGGGATGGGTCCCCCGTGCCCCCCAGGCTGGGCCGGCTCCCCAGGGTGGCCAGGAGGAGGGCAGCACGGCTCTCCCCTGCCCGCGGGCACCACACAGTTAATCCTCAGCGGCTGCTGTTTGGATAATGTGCGCTGGGAGCGTTGGAGGCTCGCGCCCTGCTCACATCTGGCTGGGGTTTGCTTTTACGAGTCTGTCCTGCTTTCTTGTCTCTTCCCTTACTTTCGAGAAACCGCGCTTGCGCTTCTGGCCAGAGAGACCTTGGACCGGAGGAGGTCACGGTGCCGTGCCGGGAAGGCAGGGGACCCGCTGCTGCCTGCACCCGCCCCCCTCTGCACCTTCTTCCCAGAGGACTTTTTCCGTCCTCCTGGCTCTCTCCTCTGACAAGTCTGCTCTTCCCGCGACCTGGCTGGGAGGAGGCCCCGCCGCCGGGAGATGCTCCAAGCCCGAGAGGCCGTTGCAGGACGCGGGCTGGAGGTAGGTGGGGGCTCCGGCGGGTGGGACGGGACGCAGGGCTGCTCTGCTCCTGCTCCGGGCTTCGGTGCTTTGGCGCGGTGGTTGCCAGAGCAGAGTGGGAGGGGCCAGGGTGGCAGTGGTGGCAAGGGGCAGAAAGCCTGGGAGCTGCGGGGCTGGTCCTGCGGGCGCCGGGATGTGCCCTGCGGGCGGGGGGCGGGGGCTCCGTCTCCCGCTGGGCCGGGGCTCTGTGGCGGCCGGATGCTGTCAGGAATGATTGTGCCGGCCTCTTCTTTGTGGACTGTGTATCCTGCTGCACCCTTCTCTGGGCATGAGAGGAAAAGGAATGGTATCCAGGGCCCTCCGTCCCAGGTGGGGTCCCCAACCCCGATACTGCCTGGATCACCTCAGAGACAGGTTTGCCCAGCCCAGCCGGGGGCCCGTTTGGACCCCACACAAAACAGGAAATGCTGACTTTGGCTTCCGCATCTAATGGCCTTGGTGTTCCTGGAGGGGATTCAGCGTGGACAGGGGAATATCATGTCCCTTTCCCTGGGGACCCTCCTGAGCTTCCCAAACCACTCGAGAACCATCTCTGGCCTGGGACTGAGTCATCTGGGCCCGTGAGCCTCTGGACCTCTGTGTCGAGACCCCACGTACTGCTCTGTTGTTTTAGGCATTCCACGGGGACGGGTGTGATTCCCACTTGCCCCGGGCACCCACATTGTGTTAGGCTGGTTCCTAGCGTGCTGACTCCTGGGCAGCCCCGTGTCCTCTGTGGGCACCTATGGGCCCTCTCCGTCCACTTGGAAGGGAGGGAGGGAGCGGCCTCCCTCTGTGACTGGTCGGGCTCTTCCATCTCACGGAGTTTCCAGGAATGGAGGTTAGTGCCACACACTGGAGCTGCTGCTTTCCGAGCTTTGGAGATGAGGCGTGTCCTGAGAAACTGAGTTTTCTCAACCACTAGCTACATCCTGGGTCCCCAGGGGAGGATGTGAGGTCCTCCAGGGCTGCCAGGCCTTTGCTTTTTATAGAGCAGGAAAGCACGCAGTCAGTCCCACATGTGAGGTTGCAAACAGATGCACTTGACGGTTGTGTGCTGCAGGGAGAGGCCTGCTCCGTGTCCCCACAGGCGAGAAGAGGAAGGGGCGATGGGGGCTGAGGCTTGAGTTATCCTGTCCCGTCTCCCTTTCCCACTCTCCCTCTCGACCTGAGAGCTGAGAGGAGCTTGGGGTGAGTGCTGTGTGTGCACACGCGTGTGCGTGTGTGTCCCGCACGGCAGGCGCTGGGCAGATGCGGATTCAATTCCCATAGATCCTATCAGTGGCACTCTCAGTGCTGAAGAGCTCAGAGAGGCTCCTGACCGGCCCATGCACACTCGTGGAGGATCCCCTTGGAAGGCCAGCATCTCAGTGCCCGGAGAAGGAGTGTAACTTGCTCAAGGGTCAACAGCTCTCCAAGCGAAGGCTGATCTGCCTCCCAGTTATCCGGGGAGAAAGCGCCCGGGGGCAGGAAGGACAGCCGGGTACTGTTTCCCAGGGACCCCACCCTCTCCTCCTATTCTTGGCCTCCTCCCTCTCCCATCTTGAGCCTCTTATGATGCCAAGGGCAGTGCTTCCCATGAGCAAGAGGTCAGGGAGACAGAGAAGTGCGGGTGCAGAAGGTGTTGGGGGGCTGCCCCCCGGCCAGAGAGACAGGTGCAGCCCGCCAGCGAGGGGCGCCCGCGCAGGTGGGTGGTGAGAAGCTGACATGGTCCCAGAGAGGGGCACAGCCAGCTCCCTCTTCATTCCTGGGATGTAAACCTCCCTATTCAGGGCAACCAGCACAGCATAATTTTTTTCAGAACATGCTTCTTTCTGTTGTTCTTCCTGGTGCCTCCAGCCCTCCTCCCCCCAAGCTGTAATTAGCATGACTCATAAACCAAATATCCTGGCACTGAACTTCACCCATCAAAACAAGGATGAAAAGAATTTTGTAGATACAGTCGTGCCGCTGGGCGTCCTCACCGGACATGAGCTTGCCCTTGGGGCTCTGTCTGCTGAGACTGGCCCCGTGCGGGGGACCCTGTTCTAGAACTGGGGGCGGCTGAGACTCCAGGGCCCCCGGGGGGCAGCAATGGCTCATAAAGGGAAGAAGAGTGGAAGGGTCCTCGTGCCTGAGGCCATGTTGCCGAGCCACCGGAGAGGAAAATGGGCGGGGAAAATGGGCGTTTCAGAAGCAGCCTCGCCTCCGGCCCTGAGAGCCCACGGATATTTACGTGGAGGTGATGCCCCCCGCCCCCGCGCTTCGTCCTGGTGGTGTAACTACTGCGTGGGCCTAGGGTTATTAAATTTTTTCTTCCTGTTTTTACCTGCTGAAATCTGTCTTCTCTTTCTTAAAGTCAAGTGAGACAAGGCAGTCCCTGGGCAGGACCGTGGGTGTCCCACTGACTCCACGCTCGGTCTGCCCACTTGGAGAACAATCTGGGAAAGAATCATCAAAGCCCGCACAAGGCGCTTTGGCCCACTCTCTCGGGGCAACCCAGCAAGCCTGGGACTTGGGACTCTCGGGGCCCTGCCAGGGGATCCGTGCCTGGGTTCTCGGCCCAGCAGGTCGGCCCTGTGCTCTGGCACAGATGTGGGGAAGCGGGCTTGCCGGCTCCCTTCCCGCTCTGCAAGCTCGGCTGTGGGCTTCTGCTGTGACAATGGAGTGGTCCCGTGAGCAGGAGACAAGAGCTCCCAGCATCCTTTTTAGCCTCTTATCTTCACCCATGCTTCTTTCCAGGACCAGGCTTAAAGTGGGACGGGTGTGGGCAGAGGCACGGAGGCCCCCTACTGCCCACCGGGGTGTCTCTGGCTTGCCCTGCAGGCCCCTGGAGTCAGCCTCTTCTCCAGCTCCTCTTGGGGCGTCCAGCCAGTCCTCCGGGGGCGTCCCGCCCTGTCCAGGATGGCTGTCGGGATGGCCGTGGGCCAGGCTGGGCCTAGTGTCTGACCATCTCCCTGGCTCCTGTAGGAATTTTCCTTGAAACAAGATGGAGCAGAGCTGGAGACCGCAGGCGGGGAGGCTGGATGGGAAGGGAGGACGGGAAAAGAGGCGGACGGGCGGGAAAGGCAGTGGGGGAGTTGGGGGAGTGGGGAAGTCAAGTCCTTGGTGCCTGGGGCTCGGTTAAAGGCTGTTGCTGGCCCCCGTTAAAGCCATATTGCGGAATCCCCCAAAACCTTTGCCTGGGGTTGCACCCCCACCCCAAGTGGGACCATCTGGTTAGCAGCCGCCCTCTATCCTGGGGACCAGGGAAGGAAGAAGACCTTGCCTGGGAGAGCTGCCAGCCCTGGCGGATTTGCAGGCAAGGGCGTGCCAGAAGTCGGGCTGGGCCCTGCGACTTTGCCCTGCAGGTTTCTGGGGCTGGTCTGGAGACGTGGGGAATGGGGTGTGCGCAGAAACACTCAGGCCCTTTCTCCTTGCGAGGAGTCTAGAAGTGGGTTCCGGTGAGAGATGGGTGGGTCTGGGTGGGTTTGGGGGTGGCCTGGGGGCTCTCAGGTCTTTTGGCATTCCGGACTCCCTCCTTCCCCACGAGGACACAGCCATGAGAGCAAGACGCATGGCTCTGTGAAGTGGCCATGGGCTTGGCTAGACGAGCCCCTGAGAAGGAGGCCTGAAGGGCACGCAGAGCTAGCCCCGGGCCGCTGGGGAGGGGAGCGGGGCCCTAGGCCACCTTCCCCTCTGTGTTCCCTTCTTTGCTCCCACATTCTCCAGTTTCAGCTCCTTCTCTGCAGGAGCCCCCGCTGGAGGCTCCACCGAAGCCTGACCCCCAGGCAGACCCCCGGGGATGGGCAGACACAGAGCACCCATGCTGCCCCCCTTGCCAATTCTGTACACTTTGGTTCCTGCTAGCTGTGCTTGGCCACGGGTCTCTCCGCAACCCAGCGTTCTCGGAGTGCACTGGGGGCCGGGTGTGGGCTTCCCCCTCCTTCTCCTTTTCGGAGCTCCCTGGCGGGCTGTGTGCCTCTACCCTGTGACAGCAAGGCTCTCAAAATGCGCATTCAATGGGCCACACTTCCCGCACGCACAGCTGACATTTTGAGGGAAGGGGTGGGGTGGGGGTGTTTCCTGGTGATTCTGTGCCTAAATCCAAAGGAATTCAACTGGGAGGGGGATAGGGTTTAAGGTGGCAGCCTGGGACAGGGAGATCTTAGCACATGGCTTCAGGGACCATGGTTGTCATGGACGCCCATGCCCCATGCCGTGCCCGACACAGGTGCTCAGTCGTCGGCTGAATGTGCATGAATGGAAGGGCTTGGCTGGCGGATAAATTCCCCGGGGACAAACGCCACGGCCACTGGTCAGCTCCTGCCCAGGGAGCAACGCAGGTGGACGCCCAGAAAGGCAGGAGCCTCCGTCAACGGTCGTAGGGAACTTGTGCCAATGACGGGGCTGCTCCTGGGCTCATTAACTCCCGGGCCGTTGCACAGGGTTCCTAAGGATGGGCTCAAGGACTTGGCTTCCTTGGTTCCACGGACTCCGCGGCAAGTACCACCAGCGAAAGGCGTGTCAAGGACAGAAAAAATCCCCCCTCCTAGGAAACAGTGATTTCTCCACCAGGCCTGGCTCTGGTCCAAGTTAGGTGGCCCTCCCTGGCCTAACCCATACCCATGGTAACTCCAGGGGTTCTGCTCCCCCAGGGGGGCCGAGGTGGGGAGGCTGTATCTCCTTCTTACTGCACTGTGCCCCCGGCCCCCAGCTCAGTACTTGGACTTTACACTCCAGGCGGCCCTGCTTGTCCCCAAGCCCCTCCTTCTCTTCACTTGGAGTCGGATCCCCTGCGATACACAAAATGCTCTCTGTGTCCCCAGGGTGGGGTTCACTCGTCATTGTTCTAAGTGGAAAATAGTGTGTACTTAATGCAAAAAAGTATGTGCCTGCTAGAGAGGAAAAACATCAGAGAAGCCAAAATAAGAAAATGGCAAACATGCCTATTTTCATCACCCCGGGGATAATTGCTGTTGGTGGCCAGGTGGGTGGCCGATCAGATCTCGGCAGCCGGGTGCACGGACGTGCGCTGGTGTGTGTGTGTTTTCGACTCAGCCTTCACTCGTCGGGGAGATCTCTCTGATTAGCGGAGAGGCATCTATGAACCGAGGTCGCTAATTGGCACTACAGTCTGGAGCTTCCCCTCCCCCCAGGTGCTTATTTACTTATTTACTTGCCTTTCCACAAAGCACGCTTCTCGTGGTTAAGTGACTTGTGACCTTGGTAATGGAGGCAAGGGGTCATAGCCCTTAGGAAGTAGACTTTCTGAGCGCAGATAAGAGGGCAAGATGACTGGATGGCCACGCCAGGATTCAGCCTTGCGACCACCGCACTCCAGAGCCCACCCTGGGTCACTCTCCCCCCTTCCCTCCTCTCTCCCCAAATAGCCCCCCCCAGGAGCTAGAGGGAGATTTGAACGCCCTGAGGCCCTAGCAAGAAGTGTGGGATCCTGGAGTCCTGTTTGCACGTTGGCTTTGCAGAAAGGTGAGTGCGGAGTTCCATCAGGGTGGGACATCAGACATCCGACGCTGGGGACACATGGGACAGCAGACACGCTCCCTGGGAGGGGCTCCTGGTGCAAGGGGCTAGAGCCACCGGATGCTGGGGCAGTGCCTTCCTGGAGGGGTGCCCTCAGGCTGGGCTCTGAAGAGCACATGCTGGCTGGAGAAGGTGTTGGGGGAAGGGACAGACGGAGGAGAGCCTGCGGCGGGTGCTGGGGCTGGAAGCAGAGCCGTGAGCAGCTCCAGATGGCTGGAGTGGGGCGGCGACGTGGCCAGAGGCAAGGCAGAAGCCCGGTGGTGAAGCTGCAGGTTTAAACATTTTTCCTGTTGTCACGGGAAGCCTCTTAAGCCCCGGGTGGAATTCACATTGGCAGCTCCGCCAGGTGCCTCTGGTGAGCAGGTGGGAGGACGGAGGAGAGACAGAGCAGCGGGTGGCTGAGAAGAGGTGATGGGCCGGGGTGAGAGGACCGGAGGCCTTCGGGAGGCTGGGTGACGGATGAGAGGTGACAGGTGCATGAGAGGCAGGGTCTGCGTGGCCCCTAGATTTCTGGCCTGGGGCCCCCGTGTGAGCGGGCGGTGGCTGTAGCCTCAGAAGCAGGTATGGTGGGGACAGGAGCGGAGTTAAATGGGGTTCGAGGTGGGAGAGCAGGGGTCCGAGCGGAGAGCTGTGTTCAGAAGACAGATTACCCGAGCTGTCTCATGGAAATTTCTGCCATCATGGAAATGTTTTCCCGCGGTGCTGTCCGAGAGGGCAGCCCCCTACCTCGTCCTGGTGTGGCTGAGAACCGAATTCTTCATTTTGCTTAATTTTAACAAATTTAACTGGCCCCAGGGGCTAGTGGCCACATTGTTCTGGGGGGCATGGGCCAATCACTCCTCGGCCAGGCCGGCGTGGGGACAAGGACTGGGGAGCTGTCACTGTAGAAAGTGATAGAAAAGTGTGTTTCGAAAAGGGAGGAGCTGATGGCCGAGGCCACAGCCTGGGAGACACCGTGTCTGAGGCGGAGACGGTAAAGGACAGATGCTGGGGGATAGGCTGAGCCGGAGCGGGGACCAAAGAGAAGGAGGCCAGCCTGGCACTGTTTGCACAGTGAGCTAAATTATATTCATGACTGAGAAGCCACTTGGTGTGGGACAGCGTTCTATCTTCTGCCATGCTTCCTCGGGGGTGTCTGTGAGATGTTGGGATGATGTCTAGGCCCCAGAATGGAAGACACTAGTACAGCTTGTAAAGGGACGGGCGCAGGCGGTGGCATTCTCTGGCTTCTCCCCTCCCTCCGTCTCCGGAGCAGTCAGACCCTGAGGGCGTCCCCGCTGTGGGGAAGTGGGCCCTGGGCCAGGCCACCTGCAGAGCAGGCTCACGGCACCGCACGAGCTGTCGGGGCTCTTCTCTCTCCGGCAGTTCTCAAAGCAGAGGCGAGCCTGCAGCCCAAGGCCTGGCAGCTGGGAGGTGATCTAAGGACAGTGCTCTAGTCAAGGAGGTCTTTGTTTGCACCGGGACCGACTCAGAGCTGGAGAGGCTGGGCTGGCCAGGTGCCCCCGGAGGCCCGACGCCTGCAGCCCACGTGGTCCCGCTGTTTGCCGGGCAGGGGCAGAAGCCAGGTGAGCCTTTCCTTGCCAAGGCCCCGTTGTTCCAGAAGAGATGGAGATGTTTTAGGATGGGGGGGTTACCTCTTGCCTTCTCTCTTCTGTACTGTTCTGTCCCGAACCAGGTGTCTCTGCTAGGCAGGGAAGAGGGAGCCCTTGCTTATTAACCAGGAAGTAGCCCCCAAAAGACTCCGTCTCCATCCCTGGCCGTGTGCTTTGGAGGTCACCAAATAAGCACCAAAACCTTAAAAAAAATATCCTTCTTCTCTAAGCCAGACAGAAGCTCCCTGGAGAAGGGAAAAGAGAGATTCAGCAAGTGGCATGGGCTCCAGCCAGGAACCGACCGTAGTCCCTTTAATAAGGGGTCCTCGTGCTCCCACCGCTGCCTCCTTTACAGGGCGGGGTGGGTGGGAGCGGGGGAAGCATGGAGGGTCTGGGGCCAGCTGTGCTGCCCGGCTATAGAAGGGGAAATTAGATTTTCGGTGGGCTTCTGGAATCGGTGAGCAAACGTCGTTCATCACCTGGAAGTCCCTTGGCCTCCCTCCTTCCTGTCACCAGAGGAGTCTGGTAAGAGGAAAGTTAGCGTGATGAATGGCTTCTGGGGAAGGAAAGCAGGGGTCACGTGATGCTCATTAGGGCCAGAGGGACACCCCAACACGGCGCTCTCTCCTTCCTGGGCACCCCGGGACCTAACCCGAGCAGGCTTCCTGGGACAGCTGGAGAGTTCTGAGCTCCCCCGTGGGAGAGTTCCCCCAGATGTCAGAGCAGAGAGAGGGGCAGCCTTGGAGTTTCCTTTCTGGCTGGGAGGATGCCGGAGAGCGGGAGGTGGTGGGAGCGGGTGTGCGGAGGGGGCCCCGGCCGTGGGAGCGCAGTTGATGCCACGTGGAAACAAGGAGGGATCCCATGCCACGCTGAGTTGCGTTCTTGGCCTTGAAGCCATTAGGTGTAGGAGAAAAGTCCCGTCTTAGCCAAACTTCCGCGGGAGCCACGCGTAAGATTTTCGGGTAACGTCCAGGCCCTAGAAAAGCCAGGCAAAGATATTTGTCTTGGGTATATTGAGGTCTGGGCCCCAGCCAGAGCTCCTGGAAAGCATCACGTAGAGGCAAAGGGCGGAAAGGAGGAGAGACCTTCAGGAGGTATTAAAGGGGGTGGGTAACTGATCCGATGTGGCCTGGCGGCAGGAGAGGAAGGAGCCCAAATGACTCCCAGATTCCTGGCTGGCTGCTTGTGCCTAGCCCAGCTTCCTCCCCCGCTGATGCCATCTGGTCCCACAGCCCTCCCAGCCATGATCGGAACGCTCTGTCCCGTGCTGTCCACCATGGCGGCTGCTGATGACCGCCCCCATGGCTCAGGATCCGGGTGGTGTGGCCGAGGCCCTCAGCTTCGAATTTCGTTTTATTTAATTGGTTTAAAATGAAAGGCACGTGGCCCAGAGGCCGTCTCCTGGACCGAGAAGGCCTCGAAGCTTCGTTACCCGCTCACCACCTTGCTCCCGTGCTCGCTGTACTGTCTTGAGCCGCGATCCAGCACCCGTCGTCTTGTCACTGGACGGTCATCTTCTCGAGGTCAGGGAGGGAGTTTTGTTTCTGGCAGGATCACTCCCTCCCGAGCTCCGACACAAGGCCGGGCACATCATGGGTCTTCGGGGAGCCAGGCCCGTGCGAGATGTTCTGGTGAAAGGGAGGGAACGGCTTGTCTTCTAAGCTGCTTCTAATCCAGGGAGATTCTAGGCTTCTTGCCTCCCAGAACAGCTGGTCATCCGCTGAGGATTAAGGAAGAGGGAAAACCATGTTTGTAGATGCTTTTGCCAGATGGCCCTGGTCTGGGTGTGGCATCGTGGACAAAGGCAGACATGTGGCAGCCGGGCTCTAGAAGTTTCCTGGCTGATCCCAGCAGGGCAGCATGGACGGGGGGTGGGACGGATCTCGGACGGACGCCGGGGAACTGCAGTCTGGGTCTGAAGACTGTCACCTTGAAGGTTTCACCCCGCGTCCAGAAAAGGTCAGAGGAGGGATGCCGATTATTAACGAGGACGCGTTCTCTGACCCTGTAAGTGGCCCAGCTCCCCTCGGGCACCCCCACCCCAGTCCTGCAAAGGGGGTTCTTCCTTGTTGGGGGGAGGTTAAGCTGAAGCAGAGGGGAGCGCCAAGGGGAGAGCAGCTGAGGGCGGCGGGCCTTGTGGGGCAGGGAGTAGGAGGAAAAAGGTGTCCATGGAGTGGCCATGGGATTCGGCAAATGAATTTCTTCACTGCGTTTGAGAAAGACAAGTCAGGAACTTGAGTCACGTTGTAATTGGCCTCAGATGCCTTGACCGCAAGGCAGCCTGGAGGCTGGACCGTGTGGGCCAGACGGTGAGGGTTACACAGCACCGGCGGAGCCTTCCCCGCCCCACCTTTGCTGGGAGCAGCGTGGTCTTCTGAGCGACCTTCCTGGGGGAGCAAAGCCTTGGCCTCTGTAGGTGACTTCATTTCACTGGAAATCGCTAAAAGTGATTTGGAGCCAAATTTGGTTGGATGTTGGGCAATGCTGTTTTTGCCCGAAAGTGACTACAATGATCATAATGTCATGATGCTGGCGTTTCTGTGGATCTTGGTAAAATGACTCTTCAGATATTTTTGGAGAAGGAAAGACTTCACTCAGGGTTTGCTTTGGCCCCGAAAAGGAGGTTCTTGAGAAGAACCCAGCACCCTCTGTCGCTGTTCACTTTGCCAGCCTGGTGCCTCTGACTCCTTGCTGGGTCCACCCCACTCATCCCATCACCCCGAAGGCCCCGGTCCCCAATGCTTCTGATCGAGGTCAGGAAAATCCCCTCTTATGTAGGAGGAGACAGACCAACATGCCAAGTGGTGCTCCTGTCGGGGGTCGAACCCTGAGCCTCAGCCAGGGGGAATTCTGCCTTCCCAGCGTACATGCAGCAAAGCCCGGAGGTGTTTTTGGCTGTCCCAACTGGGGCGGGGTTGTCAGTAGGATACAGGGCATGGAGTCGGGGTGGCTGGTAAATTTCTTGCAATGCACAAGACAAGCTCCCACAACAGTGAGTCAGCCCCAAACGCCAGGCGTGTGGAGGTCGAGAAACCCTGGGGACGACAGAATCAGATTCATGTGTGTTTGTGGCTCCTTCCCGACTTTTCCAAAATGAATATATATTACTTTGGATTCAGGAAAGAAAAATGTTTGAAGAAAGGAAACCTTCTTTTTCTTTCAAGTGATGCAAGCCTGGCATCTCAAGGCGGGGGGAGAAAGAGTCATTATTGAGGTGCCAAGGAAAAACAGAGGAAATACAGAAAAGGGGAAATAAACAACTTTAGAAAATCCCACATCACAAACATTTGTCGAGGAGCGACCAAATTCAGGGTGCTGCGGGACGCTCGGCGGGTCCAAGAGGAGCAAGACCAGGAGGTCAGGGTCTGCTGTGCAGTCTTACCGGCCAAGCAAAACACTGCAGGACGAGGCAACCGGAAAAACAAAATCTGAAAGGAGGATGGAGAGGTTTTGGCAGCTGAGGGACTGGGAAGGCCTCGGGAGGAAGAGGAGGCGCCTGAACTGGGTCTTGAGGACCCGGTAGGATACTGATGGGATCGATGGAAGCCAGCTGAGGTCAAGTCCACCACCCTCCTCCAGCCCCGGCTTACCGGTGGGGCGGTCTGAGGCTGATGAACTAACTTCTCCACATCTCTGTTTCCTTGTTTGTGAGTTCGGTATAATAATGAATGAATGTTGTCTCCTTGAAGGATTCACCGCAGGCCCTGCTGAGGCTGCTGTGGGGGGCGGGGGGTAAGAATGATGAATGAGGAAATGTTCTCAGACCTAACCCTGACTAACGAGATCAGAAGGGTCAATTGAGATGATTCCGGGAGACTCAGCATTGCACTTGGCGGGGGGTGGGGGGGGGCTGTGGGTCCTACGAGGCTGGTTTTTAATAGAAGAGAGGAAGAGGATGGGAACTCCTGGGCAGGGGGCAGGATGTGTGCGGGTGGACAGATGCCAGGAGTTTAGGGGAGGGGCTGGAAGCGGGGCTCGAAAGTATGGTCTGAGGCGGAGGAGAACTGGCAGTGCCTGGGACTTTCTGTGAATGCAGACCCTCGAGGCCCTGTCCCAGACCCACTGAATCAGAATCTGCATTTTAACCAGATTTCCCAGGTGGTATGTGTGTACGTGAAAGTTTGCAAAGCAGGGAGCTTGAGCACAGGTTGAGGCGTGCTGTACAAGGTGGCTAAAGAGTGGGGACAGACTAGGGTGTCACCCACCCATGCTCTGCCAAGGAGAAATGATGGATGGACGGATGGATGGACGGATGGATGGATAGGTAGATAACTTTAATACATATTTTATAAATTCACATAAACACGAACCGTAGAGATTGAGTTGGGGGGTTGCTGGTCCAAGTAGTCTCTTGGCCACTGGGCAGGTCTCTGGGTCCTGATGCTTAGGAGGGATGGTTGGTTGGTACAGAGCCTAGACTTAGGGAGGCCCCGCTGATCCACTCCATGCAGAGAACTGAAGACCCAGCGGAAGTGTGGGTGACAAGGGAGGAGGGGGTTTCTGGGGAGGCAGCCTCCCCAGCTCAGAGGCTCAGCTCGTGTCTGAGGATCCATCCAGAGAGCCTCTGGCTCCCGCTGTTTCTGTCCCAGGCCTCGGGTTCCCAGCTCTCTGCCTCCCCCACGCTCTCCTGACTTGGCATGGGGGCTCCGGTAGGGAGGGCTCCCAGGGCAGCCACTCTCCAGTGCTACAGCAGCGAGCCCACCGACGTGCAGAGTAAAAAACAAAGCCCAAAATTTGACCTACGGAGCTCTAAGGCCATGCCGCACCAGCTAGAAGTTCTCTGAGTGACGGGTGTTTGAGGGCAGCCCGTGGGCTCCCCCAGCCAATGGAAGGATTGCATAGACTATCATTTGCGTAGACTATTACTGACTAGAGGAAGAAATCTGTCTCGGGATTTAACTGTCCTTAAACATAAAAGAGGAGTTAAGGGACAATCAGATATTTTCCTTTAATTCCTTTCGAGATACGCCTCTCAGTAGCAACCTGGACCCCGCTGGTAACCTGCATTCAAGCGCAGTGGTTCTTCCTCCCCCAGACCTCCGTCCCTCCCTGGGCTGCTGAGAGGGTTGGACTGGTGTCCCCACTAGGCCTGCGAGGTGAGGTGTTGAACCATCCCAAGATGGGTTGGGATTGACCAGTTACCGACCCCCGCAGTGGGGACGTTTCCCCACCCGCCCGAAACAGCCAGGCACGCGGGGCTGCTGATGCCAGACGGCAGAAGAGGCTCCCCGAGTTGGCTGGGGGAGACGCCTCTAGCGGTGGAAAGGGGTGGGATGCTGTGCCTATTTGAAGTCCAGGCACTGCCCCCAAGGGGCTCCCCGGGGACCCACAGTGGACACGTCTTTCTGGAAGGACTGTTCTCAGTACCGGCTGAGGGCCTGTCCAGGGCTTCCCGCGAGAGCTCCGGCGCCAGCCCAGGGGCGGCACGTGGCTGTGCACGTGCGTGTGCACACACGTGCGGCGGTGTGAGACTATGTAGGTGTGCGAGTGCGCACGCGGCACATGCGTGTTGAGAGTGTGAACGTGTGAGTGTGCACGGACGAGCGTGGGGAGAACGTGTGGGTGTGTGTGAGCGTGAGTGCACGTGCACATGGTCGGCCTCCCTGAAGCTGCGGTGGCTGAAGCCTTCCGGGGTTCGTGGGTCAGGACCCAGCTCGGGCTTGCTGCTCTGCAGGGCCCGCCCCAGCCCGAGTCCTTCCCTGGGTGTGTTTCCCAGCAGGCACCGGCGGGACGATGGGCTCCCGGGGACTGAGACTTGTGCTGGCGGGTGGCCTGTTGCTGGCCTTCGCCTGTGGCCCGGTGCTGGGCCGTGTGCCACGTGGTCTCCAGGAGCTGCCGGAGCAGGAGGGGATCAAGGAGCTGCCGCTGGACCATGCCGTGAGGTGAGAGACGGGGAGGTGCGGAGGCAGGAGCTCGGGCTCGGTGGGTGGAGCCTGGGGTCCGGGGCACCCCAGAGGGTTCGTTCAGGGCTGGATGCGAAGGGGCCATAGCCGAGGCTGAGGAAGGGTTCTTGCACACACTGGTCCCAGAGGACAGACCTGCCGTTTCTCCTCTTGGTGACCCCCGGGCCTTATCTGAAACTGAGGGTGGTGACCCATCTTGTTCTAACCCCAAAGGGATTGGGTTTCTGTAAGGTTTTGCAGCCACATCCTTGGTAAAGTTCCCCCAAATCGCACCCCCCCCCGCCCTCCATTTGTCCTTCTATCCTAGTTTTGTCCTTCGAGAATATCTTCAGGGCTCTGAGTGCTACCTGCAGGTATAGGCAGGGACGCAGCCGTGAGCTGGCCCAGGGACCCTGACCATCTGATCAGGCTGCGGGCGGGAGAGGACTGCCGAGGGCCGGCAGAGAAGGGGGTGCTTTTCTCGGAAAGTCATGATGTCTCCTGAATGGCATCGTCTTCATGGATGTGACCTTCGAGAACAGAGACTTCAGGCTATCTGGAGTATTTTGTAAGGAGGCACAGAATGCTTAGGATTGCTCGGGAAACTGTCACTCACCGAATGTGAGGTCCTAGACACCTGGGAGCTAGGCTGACGCTTTGAATTTCTTCATTATTTTGAGTTTTGGGCTGACTTGATACCCAAGGCTTCAGGCTATCTTCAGAGTGTGATATGAGACACGCTGACATCCATCATCTCCTCACCCTCCTCCCCTTCCCCCTCCTCCTCCTCCTCCTCTTCCTCCTCTCCTCACTTTTCATTCAATGAACACTGAGTGCCCGCTCTCGACCTGGCCGTCTGGGGGCACCGGAGGGACGCACGAATGAGAGTTCTGGCCTCCAGGGACTCTGAGGCTGTGGGGATGCAGACACACATGAGCCAGAGCACGGAGGAAGGCTCTGCAGTACAGGTGTGCCGCAGTGCTGGGGGCGGTGGGGGAGGTGGGAGAGACTGAGCACAGGAGTGTCCCCATCTTGAAGGATACCTGGGCCTGGGGAGCATCCCAAGTGCCGAAGGAGGGTGTGACCATGCCAGGTGGGCCTGGGGTAGTGGAGCTGGTGCTAGAGGGCAGGAAGGGGAGGGGAGATGAGCCTGATGGGAAAGGGTCTCTCGTGCACTTAATCCTACAGGGAATCACGAGGGATTATCATGAGGGGGTGGGGATGTCACGGGGAGGGTTCGATATCATGACGTTCCAGAAAGAGCGTTGGAGGAGGCAGAGAACAAGAGGGATGGGAGGTGTGGAAAGGGGCAGATTCCAGGAGAGCATTCAGAATGGCAATGGTCCCCCAGAGATGGGGAGGCCCGAGGGCCCAGCTTCTGCAAGTGCCTTCGTGGGGGGTGGGGCTGACCCCGGGATCCTCAGAACGTGGTCGTGAGCCCAGAGAAGCCTCTTGAATGAACCCAAGGGTCCATTCTGGGCGACTGGTGATGGCGCCGTGAAGAGGGTTTGGAAAGAGAAGATTCCGGGGGCAGAGTGACGGGCCGACACTTTTGGACACATCAACTTGGTGGGGCTTGCAGACCATCAATGGAGACTTCCGGTGAGAGGTGGGGGACCACCTCGGAGGCCTGTGTTTAGGGGGTACAGATCCATTTCCTGGATTGTCTGGGGTTTAAGAGCAGGAGCAGAGGTAGAGAAGGAAGCGGCCACAGAGAAGGAGGGACTGTCTCTGAGATGTCCAGGCTCTAGGGCGGGAGCCAGAAAGAGCCCGTGCAGCACAGTGCGGTGCCACAAGGTGGCAGCATGGAGCCGCCGCCAGCGGCCACCCCGCCCACCCTGCGGTCCTTCAGGGGTGGGTAGTAAACAGCAGAGGGGATTGTCCAGCCGCCAACACGGCAGCTCAAGGGAATCCTAAAGATGGAGCTGAGCCCTTGCATTTACAAATGAGTCATCTTAATGTCCTAGCTTCTGGACATCGCATAAAGGGGACCCGCGGCTTGGTCACACATCATCTGAAACCCCTACTGGAGGGGCACACCTCTCCAAGCAGACTGCGTTTCGGGGGGGGGGCTCAAATTATTGGTGTTTTTGTACTCATTGTTTCCATTACGAGTACTGGCATGACCAGAAGGCAGAGCTCTTGCTGAAACTTTCTGGAGGGTCCCAGAGCTTGCCCAGAGCCAAGGCTGTCCCTGTCCAGGGAAAGTGAACGCCGTCTGGCACTTCCAAGACAGAGGGAAGGCGTGCAGGTAGACCAGACCCTCCGGCTGCAGGAGTGAGGGGAAGTCCCAGCTCCGAGAGCTCATGGCTTTCCCTGTACCGCCTTTATTCCCTTAGGGATGAAGAAAACCATGAAAAGCACAGCCCCAGGTGGGGGGAGGAGGCCGCAGCTTCCCCGTGCTTCCGCTGCTGTGACCCTGGTACCCCCGTGTACCAGGCTATCCCCGTGCCACAGATCAACATCACCATCTTGAAAGGTCAGATGGCCATGAAGCCAAGGGGACCTTCCCATGGACGGGAGGTGGGGTTGCTCCGTGCTGAGCGGGGAGAAGAGGCAGTGGGTGTAGACGGCTCCCACAGTGCCGGCGCAGAGGCAGGCTGTCCTCTAGGGGTGCAGGCTCTGCCCCCTTGCCAAGAGGAGAGACTGGAAAGAGGCCCGCGGGACCAGGGCCGGAAGAGGGTCTCAGCCCTGGGGCTGCACCGGAGCCTCCTTAACCTTTGTTTAGAGGCTCGGTGCCCCGCCCCCTCCGCCCCCAGCCGGGCCTTCTGAAAGGCCCCCAGCCCCGTGGTCCAGATAACCCGGCCCAGCCCTGCGGGTCCCACCCCAGAGCACTGGGGCGAGCCTGCCACCTGCTGCTCATTTGCTCGGAGTCCACCGTGGGCTGGCCGCAGTGCCTGCTGCTTTTGGACAAACCCCCGTGTTCCCTTTTCTCTGCCAGGGCTTTCCAGAGGGGGAAAAACAAATGATTGCCTCTGGATGAAAACAGAACCGTCCTCACAGTTGGGTCAGCCGGCCTGACGCCGCGTGTCTTCCTGTCCCTTTAGGTGAGAAAGGTGACCGGGGAGACCGCGGCTTGCAAGGCAAGTACGGCAAGACCGGCTCGGCGGGTGCCCGGGGCCACGTGGGCCCCAAAGGGCAGAAGGGGTCGATAGGGGCCCCCGGGGACCGCTGCAAGAACCACTACGCCGCCTTCTCGGTGGGCCGTAAGAAGCCGCTGCACAGCAACGACTACTACCAGACGCTGGTCTTCGACACGGAGTTCGTGAACCTCTACGGCCACTTCAACATGTTCACGGGCAAGTTCTACTGCTACGTGCCGGGCATCTACTTCTTCAGCCTCAACGTGCACACCTGGAACCAGAAGGAGACGTACCTGCACATCATGAAGAACGCGGAGGAGGTGGTGATCCTGTACGCCCAGGTGAGCGACCGCAGCATCATGCAGAGCCAGAGCCTGATGCTCGAGCTGCGGGACCAGGACGAGGTGTGGGTGCGCCTCTTCAAGGGCGAGCGGGAGAACGCCATCTTCAGCGACGAGTTCGACACCTACATCACCTTCAGCGGCTACCTGGTCAAGCACGCGGCGGAGCCCTAGCCCGCCGGCCCGCGCCGCGCCCGCCGCAGCCTCCCTGCCCCCCCACCTCGCCCCCCAGGCCTGGCTTCCCTGCCCCGCAGCCCCAGCTTCCGCCTCCTACACGACGCCCTCCACGGAAGGGGGAGCAGGAGCAGCTGCGCTTGCGGGCCTCGCGGGCTCCCGGGTGGGCTCGGCGGGCAGGTACCTGCCGGGGCGGGGCGTCCAGCTGCCCTCCGTGCGCAAGTCCGTAGGCGACCCCGTGGGCCGGCCGCCACGTGGCAGGGTGTCCCAGAGTCATCCTTGTTGGCCGTGGCTGGAAAGACCGAGGGAAATGCTGAAGTCTGTGAAAGGAGCAAAGTAAGCCCTGTGGGGAAGGGAGGTGCGCATTTTGGGTCTCCTCCAGCTGCACCGGCTCCTGGGGGAGGCTGTTCTCGCATGTTCCAGAAGACCTGAAGTAGACGCTGTGGGCCACGGGGAATGGGGTGGAGGGCGCGGGACCCTCTTAGGCCGCGGAGGAGCCTTCCTGGTCAGCAGCTGGACTGACGCCCACGTCCTGGGGGCACCATGGCCTTGCCCGCGGGTCTCTGGGTTGAGAGAAGCAGCTGGCTCGCTGGGGCGCACAGACTCCTGACAGCAGCCGGGGACCTCAGGAGCCGCTGGATCTGCAGACGTTTCTCTGGGGAGCAAGGCTCCGTGTATCTACTGCCCGGCCGTCCATCCTGGCACGGCTCTGCTCCACTCCCCCACGCTGACCGGGAGCCCTGTGCAGGGCCCTCATGCCGGTGACCCTGCTGTCAGGGTGTCCCTCCTCCCAGACAGGTCGGCCTCCCAGAGGGGTCGCCGTCCCTCCTCCCAAGACGGTCTGTCACGGAAGGCACTGGGACCTTCGTTTTGTAGCAGGGTCATGGTTATATACTATTTTCTACCAAACCTCCTTGCAAACCATCTCCCAGTCCTGTTTCCCGGAGGGTTCAACACTCGGCAGTCCCAGGCCTCTTCCCCGGGCCTCTTTGACCGGCAGCCTGAGACAACATGGAAGGGGCTTGCACTAGGCCCCTGAGCGGGGCAGAGCCGGAAGGAGCTAGAAGGCTCCCAGCTACTGTCTCGGAGGCCCTATGGGGCACCATCCCTCTGCCCAGGACAGAAGGCATGTCTCAACCACGGGAGTCCGAACCCTCTCTCTGAGGCGGGGTGTAGACGTCTGCCGCCTGGAGTTGGTGCTCTGGCCTGTGGCTGGCTTTTGCCGGGCGGCCCTTCCCTGCCTCTCTCCATCAACGCCCAGGGCCAGAGTCCCCATCCTACCTGCTCGGGCCCTGAAGCCCCTACAGGAACCTTCCTCCCCACCACCTGGTGACCCTTGATCTTGACCCCATCCCTCTGCTCACCCAGGGCCTGGCCACCGGGTCTGGGGTCTGCACATCCTTCCCTCTGAAGGGCTTCTGCTGGTCAGACTTGGAAACAGTGTTTCTCTGGGCCCGCCAGTGCTGCCCGCTGCTTCGTGCTGTCCCGATGCTCTTTCAGAAAACATTAAACTTGGAGCCACGTGTCTCAGCATCACAGCCTCCTCAGTCTGCTCCTTGAACCAAACCCTCTTCCTTCCTCACCCCGGCCCCGCACCCCACCTACTGTCCGCTGGAAGCCAGGGGGCCTGCCGCGGGGCACCTGGGGACAAAGCTGGGCACAGGATGGGCCCTGAACTGCCTTGTGGTTCACGGGAACGCGCTCTACAGGCTGAGCTGGATGTGGTCTCCTTGGGCGCCCGGTGCTTCCCGGAGCCAGCGAGCAGCCGGCGGGCGGGCTAGGGTGCCAGGGTCCCAGGGCTGCTGTGACAAACGGCCAGAAGCTCGATGTCTTGAAACAACACACATTTATTCTCTTGCAGCTTTAGAGTCCAGAACCTCTACATGGAGGTGTTGACGTGGCCAGGTTTCCTCCTTGTCTGTAGGGAAGGACCCCTCCCTGCTCCTTATGGCCTCCGGTGGCCCTGGGATTCCGTGGTTGGTGGCTGAGTCACAACAGTCTCTGTCTTCACGTGGCTTTCTTTCTCCTGCCCATCACACCTCCCTCGCCTTTCCCTTATTAAGACATCTGCCATTGGATTTAGGGCCCCTTCTAAACCCAGCATCTCCTCGCAAGGTCCTTAACGACATCGGCACAAGACTTTATTTCCAAGTAAGGTCACGGTCATGGGTCTCAGGGGCGAGGACTCGCATGTACCTTTTGGAGGGGCTGCAATTCAACCTCCTACAGGGACCTGCAGGCTTGAACACCCCTGCCAAGAGCTTCCTTCACGCTCAAAAAGTGAAGAGCAGATGTTCCTTTCTCTTCTCCCCACGGCTTGCCAGCTGGGTTAGCGACCTGGGCCCCGGCCTTGCTGGGAGTGCGGAGGCCACTCTGCTCCTGTGGTGCCAACAGGCTGGCAGCAACAGGCGTCCTTCTCTTGCCTGGTTCTAGGATCGGCCCGTGCTCAGCCCTGGCTGGGGCCAGGCGGGAACGGGCAGACACTGCAATTCTGCTCCCAGTAAGATGGAAAGCAGACCCCACAGAGCCACAGCCGTGCAAGAAGGGAGGGCCTCTACGCGGCTGGGAGGAGGGGCTGAGGGTGTTCCCCAAAGAAGCACGGAAGGAATGGGTCAGCTTCATCCAGGTGCCCCAAACTGCTCACTTTGTACAGGCCCCTTCCGCGGAGCCCTGACCTCAGCTAGTAAGGCCCTGACAAACCGTTCCTGGAAATGACCTGATAAACTCACCCGCAAAACCAATGCTAGTGTTATAGCAAAAGGGCTTAAAAACAGCCGGTCACTCAGCCAAAGGAGATTACTGTTTATGCTACAACTTTCAGGACACTGTAGCTGGGGTGGGAGCCGTGAGAGTGCACTCCCCATCCTATGGGATCTGTGTGCGTGTGTGTGTGTGTGTGCGTGAAAAGGCAACGGCGGGATGGCAAACTGGTTTTTTGGGGCCTTACTAACGGGAATAAAATGAGACCCTCTCCCAGATCTTGGAAAAACAACAACAAAAAGTTAACAGAAAATAATAAAAAAACCAAATGCCTCCAGATGGCATCCCTACCTTACACCATATATAAAAATTATCTCGAAGTGGATCAAAGTTCTCCAGATAAGGGCTGAGAAGAAAGTATGGCTGTAAATCATCATCACCTTGTATCAGGCGGTAGTTTCCTAGATGTGACACCAAAACCCAAGTAATGCAGGGGATGTAAATAACTCGGACACCACCAGAATTTAAAATTCTGGACATCAAAGGACATGACTAAGAAAGTCAAGGGACAACACCGAATGGGAGAAAATATTTGTAAATCGTACGTCTGATAGGAGACTTATATCTAGACTACATTAAGAACTCTTGCAACTCAATGATTAAAAAAAATTAAAAAGAGGCAAAGGTTCTCAATCAACGTTTCTCAAACAAGACTGACAAATGACCCAGGAGCACATGAAAAAGACGTTCGTGCTGTTAGCCCCCAGGGAATCGCGAGTCCAAACCACAGTAAGACACAACTTCACCACCAACAGGATGGTTGTTATCAAAACGACGCATGTGGGCAAGGATGGAGAGAGCCTGTCAGCCTTGGCCACGGCCGGCTGGAACGTAAAATGGTGCTGCTGCTTCGGAAAACAGCCCTGTGCTTCCTCAGAACAGTAAGCGTAGAGCTACAGGTGACCCAGCGAGTCTGCTTCTAGATTCCCTGAAAGGAACAAAAACATTGTAGGCTAATGTCCTTGGAAGCAGGATTCATAATTTAAAAAAGCGGAGACAATCCAAATGTCCTTCAGGTGATGAATAAACGAACAAAATGGGGTCTGTCCGTGTGACGGGACAGTACTCAGCTATAAAGAAAATACGGAACCCTGCTGCATACAGCACGGACGACCCTCAAACACAGGACGCCCAGCGCAAGCAACCAGTCACAAAAGACCACGTACTGTATGATTCCACTGATGTGAAACGTCCTGACCTGGCCAATCCGTAAAGACAAAGTAGATGAGAGGTGTCCAGGGTCTGAGCTGTGGGGGGAGGGAGTGAGCGCTAACAGGGACAGGGTGTTCTTTTCAGAGGGATGAAAATGTTCTAAAATTGGTGATAGGGGTGGTCATGCCACTGCGTGAATGTACTAAAACCAAGAACTGCGCGCTTGAAGTGGGGGCAAAGTGTATGTCATGTAGATTATATCTCGGCTGTTACAAACACACGCTCACACGCAAACTAGAAAGCCTCGCCCTTCTCTGTTGAGGCCTGGGGAGCCCTGGAGCTCCAGACGGGTGACTTTCAGGCCAGTCTCATTATTCCGGGTGTGGCTCAGGAGGAGGTCGGGGTCCAGGGTTCAGTGAGTTGGGATGGGATTGTCAGGCTTAGTTCTTCCAAGAGCTTTATTTGACAAGGGTTCTGGAACCAACTGTTGGATGAGATCACACTAACTCGGGAGGCTGACTCAGTTGCCAAGGGAAGCATTCCACAAGGAACAGCTAATTGAGGACCATGCCTTTCTCTCTGATGTCCCCACACAGCTGGAGTAGTGACCTCAGATGCCCTCCATCAGCTGGCCCTGGTCACCAGCCCCTCCTAGGGCTGAATGGAGCAGAGCCCATTTCCCTTTATGCAGATTGTCAGGCGAGGACAAGAAATTTCCACTTTAGGGGTTTTCACAAATAAGAGTAAAAGTATGTATACTCTAGATAACTCGGAAACCTTCCTCCAACACTCTCCAACGGTTGAGATAGCCACCAAATGAGCCATCCGTCGGGTCTGTGATCCTCCTAACTAAAAATATGCAGCAAGTGTGCCTTGTGTGTGGGGGGGAGCTCACAGTAGCATTGTCACAGTCAACCACTGGGACAGCTGTGCTTGCTACATTGGAGGAGATAAACGTAAGACAGAATTGTGGCAGAGAACTTGAAACTAATACTAATTAATAAAATAAATCAAAGGGAACGTCCAGAAGTGAGAAACAGAAGAAGAGACGCGAAGGACTCTGTGACTCAGCGTGCCGCATGTTGTACAGAGTTGAAGGGAAAAGCCAGCGGCTTAGAAGATAAATCAGAAGATATTCAGAAAGAAGCATGGAGAGATGAAGGGAGGGGAGATACAGAGTGGAGAGCGTATTCACAAGGTGGGGGGACGGTCCTGGAAGGGGAAATGGAAAAATGTTACAGAAACAATATTTGAGAAGAAAGTGGCTGAGAATTTCACCTGATGGATGAAAGTCACAAAGGCACAGACTTAAACTCAGTGACTCCCAGCAGCATGAATGAAGGCAAGGGCGCACCCAGCACAGACACGGGGGCGGGGGGGCGGGAGCCACTACAAACCGAAGACAGAGAGGAAAGCTGAACCACGGGAAGGGGGAATGTTTTCTTTCCCAGGAGCGCTAATAAGCCTGACAGCTGACCTCTGGGCAGAAGGAGTGGAAGCCGAGTGAGAGTGGAACAGCACATTTGAAGAATTAAAAAGTGATAGTTGTTGATCTAAAGTGCCCTGTGACAGTATAAAGAATAAAGACAGTTTCAAGCCAATGAAACCCGGGAGCCGTTGTTGATGGCAAACCTGCACAAAGTGAATGGGATCCCAGGGGGAAGGTCGGAAAAGCAGACATGAATAACAAAATGGTAAATGGGGTGGTAATTCTAAACAAAGAGATCCTGTGCATATAAAGAAAATATGACTTGGGGGTGCTCGGGTGGCTCAGTCGGTTAAGCAGCTGTCTTCGGCTCAGGTCATGATCCTGGGGTCCTAGGATCGAGCCCTGCGTTGAGCTCCCTGCTCGGCGGGAAACCTGCTTCTCCCTCTCCCACTCACCCTGCTTGTATGCCTCTCTCTCTGTCAAATAAATAAATAAAATCTTAAAAAAAAAAAAAAAAGATTCTCCCGCTCCCTCTGTACCGGCCCCCCGCCCCCCGCCCGCTCACATGTGTGCCTTCGGTCTTGCTCTCTCTCCAAAAAACCAAGAAAACCCCAAACCTCCACAAAACTAGCACATCAGACAAAGCAGACATCAATGCATGAAGTGTTACTAGAAACAAAGGTGGTCATTTCACGACGACTGTTCAGTCAATTCACCAGGAAGAGAGAAGGTAAATTTAAAATCTACATGCGCCTAATAACACACGCTCCGAATACGTAAAGGCAAATGAAGAGGCAGAAACAGATGCAGAATCATAGTGGGAAATTGTATCACACCCTTCTCAGTAGCTGGTAGAATAATCACATTCTTTTTTTTTTTTTTTTTAAGATTTAGTTATTTATTTTAGAGAGAGAGAGAGAGAGTGCATGTGCAAGCATGGGAAGGGGCAGAGGGAGCGGGAGAGAGAGAAGATCTCTAGCAGTCTCCATGCTGAGCACAGAGCTGGACTGGGGCTCGATCCCATGACCCTGAGATCATCACCTGAGCCTCAATCAGGAGTCAGGACGCTCAAATGACTGAGCCACCCAGAAGCCCCTAAAATAATCCCATTCTTTAAAAAAAAAAAATCAATAAATAGAGGATTTGAGAAATATGGTAAGAAAATCTAACTTAATGGTCACTTATAGAACAC